TGCCCAGCTTTCAACAAAAAACTGCAAGGTCTGACAAAAAGCAAGAAAAAACACAGTATGAGGAGAAAAAAAAACCATCATCAGAACCAGACTCAGATATGACACAAAAGTTGGAATTATCATACAGGGAGTTGAAAATAACTATGATTAATATATAAAGGATTCTAATGGGGAAAGTAGGTGGATAGGCAAAATCAGTTCAAGGCCAGAACACGTGGGTAATGTAAGAAAAGAGACAGAAACTCTAAGAAAGAGTTGAAAGGAAATGCTAGAAATCATAAATGCAATAATAAAAATGAAGAGTGCCTCCTTCCAATGTCTCCTTCCTGGGTGTCATGCCTGAAGGCAATCCCCACTGTGTCTGTCTTGGACTTGCAGACAAACCCAACAATTTCAGGCTAGTCTACGGCAGTCCTGCATTGCTGGTTAAGTTTTGCTGTCACCTCCCCTGCTGTCAGCTGTCATTTCTCTCTTCCATTAGGATGACTTTAACTTGAAACCTCCTCTGCCCTCGTCCAATTTGCTGCTTCTCAACTGGGCTGGGGGAGAAAGACAACTGAAAATATTGAGACTAGAGCACTAAATAGACACCAAGAATAGAAAGTACTCAGGGCCTGGCTTTCATGCAGGGACATGAGTCTTCTGCTTCATATCTTCATAGTCCTTTTCCATTTACTTTTTCAGATCAAAGTTGTATTCCAGACTGACCTCTACATACAAGTGATATGCCACCATATATATCTTTAGTTTTCTTCTTGTTAAGATTTTATCTATTTATTTGAGAGAGAGAGCATGCACGCACATGAGCAGGGGAAGGGGCAGAGGGAGAGGGAGAAGCAGACTCCCCAAGGAACAGGGAGCCTGACCCCAGGACCCCAGGATCATGACCCAAGCCGAAGGCAGACACCTGAGCCACCCAAGCATCCCTATCTTTAGTTTCTTAAAGCAAAATAAATATCAGCCTTCCATAAGGCACTAGCATCATAAGCAATCTATAGAAAAATAAAGATCCCATTGTCCCCCAAGAATAGCATAGAGGGAAACTGACTAAATATAATGTATTTTTCATCCTGTCTAAGCAAAGTGTATTCCTAAAATTAGTATAAATTGTCACAACTTATATACTTATGTTCTCCTTTAAGCTTTTATGTTGGGGGCTGCTCCTAATTCTTTCATCTCTTTTCACACTGTACAATATGAACCATCTACAGAATTGATGACCACCTTCCAGGCAACCCTGACTTGGTGAAACCCAGAGAAGAGTTAAGGAAGCAAATGCCCATTCAGCTGATTCCCCAGGAGTGCCCCAGCTACAAGACAGAGAGAAGCGTCTGGTAACTGTTCCATCCGTACCGGCTATCCTCATTTCCATTATAAGCTACAAATGACAAAATCAATGGGTAGAGATGAAACTGGAATATAAAGAGGCCTAATACTGCTACAAATCGCAGCTCTATCTGGGAGGCCTGTGCAGAAACTCCTTGGAGAGCTTCCCTGAGAACAGCTCTGCTGTTCAGCCAAAGTAGTGAGCTTCTCCTTAAGGACCCTGACTCCCAAGTGGACAAATAGGCTCTTGGTACCTGCCGAACTATCCGGGGAGGGAATAACAGGCCCACAGGCTTCTGCAGGCCCACTCCCAGAGAGACCCCAAACACAGAAGAAGAGAGGAAAGCACAGCTGCTCTGCTTGGTAATGGCCAAGCAGGTGCTCTTCCCTAAGCCTCCAACCAGCAGGCTGGGGGGCCCCCACAGAGGCAACAGGTGTATAAAACACAGTGGTGGGGAGGACTGCCTCAGCCCCGGCTCACTTTATTCCCTGAGTACTTAAATTCTCTTTTGCCGTCAAGGGGAGGGAATCACCCCTAGGTAGATTGCCTTCTACCTCCCTTGCTGCTCTCAGAAGAAATCCTTTTGAAATATCCAATTTTTTCTTCTACTATATTCATTTTTAATTCTTCAATAATTCACTCATCCACTTATTCCAAATATTTAATAAACTCATGATATATGCCAATTATTATTCCAGGTGTTGAGTCCCTATACATCCTAGACAGAGAACAGGAAAGCAAATAAACATGTAGTTTAAAAAAAAAAAAAAAAGTATATGAAGGAAAATAAATGGGGTTAGGGGAGAGCGAGCAATGAACACTGAAAAGGCCTCTCTGAGGAGATAAAGTTTGAGCGGAGATGTGAAGACTAAGAAGCAGAAGCCAAGGGAATTCTGGGGAAAGAGTCTTCCAGAAGGGAACAGCGAGTGAACAGGGAGTGCCCAAGGTGGGAGGCCACTTGCAGTGCTCCGGGAGCAGAAGGAAGGAGGCCAGTGGCCAGAGAGCCGCAAGCAGGGGAAAGAGATGATGGAAATGAAGACAAAGCGACAGCTGGGGCAGGACCATGAGGGATCTCACAGGCCACGGTCAGACACTGGGTTGTGTTCTCAACGTGACAGAAGGTCACTGGAGGTGAGCACAGAGGAGTGACGTGATCACTCTGGCTGCCTATGGAGAGTATACTGGAAGGGCAAGAAAGAAAGCAAGACTAAAGGAGATTCTTGCAGTGATCCAGGCAAGAGGTGATAGAGGCCAGGATTCATCTGGTAGAGAAGAGAAGTGGTTAGACTGAGGACAGGTTGTGAAGGTAATACTAACAGGATCCACGGAGGGATGGGATGTGGGATATGGGAATAAGAGAGAAGTCAAGGAAAATCCAGGGTGATAAGCCTGAACACATGGATATATGGAGGTCCTCCCAACAGAAACGGGGAAGACAGAATGCATGGATGAACAGTGATCCTCCCAAAACAAGTGAGGAAAAGAGAATGCAAGGGTAAACAGTGGTCCCCCCAACAGAGGTGGGGAAGACTCAAGGAAGCACAGATGTGAGGGAAGTGAATAAAAATCACGCAGGCCTTTTGATTAAGCTTCATCAATCCCCAAGGGCATTGTGGCTATTAGAATTCTGAAGGAATACTTTCAAGTACATCCATAATATAATGCATTCCTAATATACTATTACTACCACTGGGAACTAACAACTGAGTGAAGAACAGAGAAGCATGTGTTCTAGCCTCGGTGTACTTGTACAAAGACACAACGAAGACCACAAAGATGCTGTGTAGGAAGAGCCATGCTGCATATCTGCTCTCCTGTGTTTTAACATCACTGGGCTCCCGAGCCACTCAGAATGGGGATGCAGTGCAGTTCAACAAAGATTTATTAAGCACCTGTTACATTCTGTGCCTGAAACATTACGCTTTATCCCCATTATTTCACTTAATCCTAGCAAGAGCCTTATCCAGGAGGTACTGTCAGTTCCATGTTGATAATATGAGAAAACCAGGACTCAGAAAGTTCAATTTTCCCAAGGCCAGAAGGCTCCTTGTGCCAAGATCCCCCCTCTAGTCCTCTCTGTGGCAACCCTGAACACCCCACTGTGGGCTTTCCTATTCTGGTCCCATACTCAGAGTCCTTGAGGAGGGGAGGTGGTCCTGATTATTCCTGGTGAGTCAGAGATCTGAGAAATGCTTATGCTCGAAGGAATCAGAAGAGTCCTCCTAAGCCTGCTTCCCCACCTCTTATCATGGAGAGACAACAGAGCAAAGTGCTGAGAGGCAAAGACCTTGAAGCCAGCCTGCTGGGTTTGGATCCCTGCCCAGATAATTATTAGCTATGCGACCTGGGGGAGGTTATTTAACCTCTCTGTGCTTTGCTTTACCTACTTGTAATAAGGGAGTAATATTAGCACCAAACCAATATGGTTATTGTGAGCATTAAATGAGCTAATATACAGAAAGTACTTAGAACGACATCTGGAGCATAAAAGGTACAGTATACATGCAGCTAGATTAATCTGAGAGTTCTTTTGAATACCCCTAGAAACAATCAATTGTACTGCCAGTCCCCTTGAGATCCTGTGGTCTAATGAAAGTAGTCACTTCTCCGGAAGAGTTATTTATCTCTTAAATAAGAGATATCACTGTAATTTATGTTGTTAATGCTTCTTTTTAACCTTAACACTTCTTTTTAACCTTAATGCTTTCATTCTACCATTTTAAGTCTACCCATTCATTCCGCAAGATCTTATTATTAAGCTGGTGCAAAGTACCAAATTAGAGGTTTGGAAGACTTTTAAAAATGAATCAGAAAAATACCTGCTCAGAAGTAGCTCACTATATTAAATCAGTTCAGTCAATCATCATGATCCATTAGTCCAAACAACCAGCCATCTCTGTAAAACCTGGTTTTTTGTTTGTTTGTTTTTTGGAGGTTTGGGGTTTTTTTTTTGTTCTGGGTTTTTTGGGGGGGTAGTTTGTTTCTCTCTTCTTCTCTCAATCAGAACAAAGACATGGTTCAAGAGATGAGAGTTCAGAGATGATTTGGGTGTCAAGGCAGCATCTCCATATTCTCAAAGAAAGCTCAAGGAGCATCCAGGATGTCTAACTCAGATTCCATGAGGAAATGTAAGCCAGAGGTTAAGTGGTTTAGCCAAAGTCACTGGGCTAATTACCTTCATAGATGAAAATAAAATTGATGGTTCCAACTCCAAACACACTAGTGAGCTTTCCACTAGAGCAGACGGACTCCACCTTCTGCTGTCCACTAGGTCACTGTTCCACATGACAGGCAACCTATCATGCAATCTTTTTGATCATGCAACCCCGTCAGTAAAAAATAACTGGGCAGGCAACACACTATATGCGAACGATAACTATTCTGCCATACTAATACACTAATTATATTATAAAACCTTTGCAAAACTAGAAGATTAAAAGCTGAGTTTTCTTTCTTCACTTGAATGGATCCTCTTGTGCACGCCTGGGGCTGACGGACCTCCCACCCCTAGAGACCACAGTGCTGAGTGCTGTCCTGGGCAACCAGTGGGGACAGTATGGAACTGGGAATCACCTGAATCACCGCTAAACAACTTTTGTGACTGAGTTTGTATTCTATTGCCACTGCCACAGATTACCCCAGATTCAGCAGCTGAAAACAACCAATGTATTACCTCATGATTTCCATGAGCCGGGAGTCCAGGCACAGCAGGGCTCAGCAGGTTCTTTGCGAAGTGTTGCACGTGGCAGGATGAAGGTGTTAGCAGGGCTGCATTCCTCTCTGGAGGCGCAAGGGGAGAACACATTTCCAGGCTCATTCCGGTTGTTGGCAGAGCTCAGGTCCCTGTTTCCTTGCCTCAGCGTCTCAAGGCTGCCCATATTCCCTGGCCGTGACCTCCCTCGTCTCCAAAGCCAGTGATGCTGGGTCAAGTCTTGCCCACACTTCGAATCTCTCCGACTTCCCTTCTCCTCATCTCTGGTCAAATCACTTGTCTCGTGCTCAACTTCTTCAACAGCAAAATGGGAAGAATAACGTCTACCTCAGATGACTGGCTTGAAGGGTAAGTGGAGTAATAGATATGAAATTGCTTTGAATATTGTAAAGCAATAGAGGTGGGGAGAGGTGAGGGATGGGGGAAGTTAAGAGGGGACAGGAAGTACACAGAAGATTTTCTTCACATTTAAAATGATCCGTGTGTCTATGACACTAGGAAAATAGGGGGAGTGTCTACAGAGCACTAAAATTAAAGGAGAAATTATTTGTAAAAGCATTTCGTAAATGCTACAATGCTATATAAATGTTGGGAATTTTCGTAAAATATCATATACCAAATGAAACACAAATTAACCTTAAAGCTTATTGAGATATAGTCTATATTCTCCAAATGATCATAATTTAAAATATTTATAAGGAAAAAATGAACATAAGCCAGTACAATATCACAGAGCCTGTAGATATGCAAATACCATTTGTGGTAACAAGTATGTCCTGGGCTCTACAGATACTGTCATGGGGCCAGTTACTTAACTTTATTCCTCATCTGTAAAATGGGAGTAGTAAGAATAATAATAGCATCTACCTCAGATGTATGGTGCTGGGTTGCTATAGGAATTAAAGAATGCATGTAGAATACTCAGCATGATGCCAGGCTATAAATTTTAGCTACCATTTTATCATTGTTTTCAAAAGAATGAGACTATAAACAATGGGTCATAAAACCAAAAATACGGAACCAATAATCTATTGCTTATTCACAGTCCTTACTGAGACAACAAAAAGAAGACTCACATATCCCTCAAAAAAATACACAAAAGAATAAAAATATCTTTCAGGTTCCAGTATTTAATAGATATTTTACCCATTATATACACTCACCTGATTTTTTTTTTCTTTTCCTTGTTTATATCTTGCAGGACTTGGAGCAATAATTTGGTTAAAAGCAAAGGGTTATGTGAATTTGCAATTTCAGCAACTAACAGTTCTGGAAGATGCTTCCAGCAGATGCACCTACAGCCGCAGAAGATTTAGTCAGGGCATGGTTGCCGACATTGTTGACACCTGGTGTTTTTTATAAGCACATGCTTGACTAAGAATAATGGCAGAAGAGAGGACCGAGTTGAGGCAGATGCATTACACTCTGGGCATGGGGAATCCCTGCATTATCCAGCTGCACTTCACGCATTCAAGTATTATACACACCGCGACAACTGTACCACATTACTGGCAGGATTTCAAGACACTCTGAACTTGTATTCCCCCCCGAGAGACCTGTTGAGGAACCAAAGAAAGTAAAAAGAGAGATTTAAAATATCAAATGCCTTACTACCTGATGTGTTACTGTTTAAGGGATGTAATTTAAAATGAAAATCAAAGGACTTTTCCCTTCAAAGTGACAAGCTCTAGGGAAACTCTTAAAATAGAAAACATAAAGCAAATCCAAATAGAGGTTCTATAAGGAAAAAAATAAAGAAAACACATAAGAGAAAGTCAATGAAAGAAAGAAAACTATAAAAGAACAAGATTTTAGAATGGCTGTAAATTAGGAGAAGACCATTTGAAAAACGTTTTATCTTCATACAGCATTAATAAAGCACCTCCTATGTGTGAAACACTATGCTAGGAACCCTCAAAGAGCCAAGTAGAGACAGACAGTAAGCAGGACATTAGAAAACAGAGAGAAAAGTCTCATGGCGGGGTAGGTAAAAACAGGATACATCACAAAGAGTAGAGGGGCACCTCGCTCTATGGTCAGGGAAGCAGGAAGATTAACCCAAGAAGATAAATGATGGAGAACAGAAAAGAGGGATAGAGCCGTGCCCCCCAGATGGAGGGCCACCACTTGCTTGTTGCTGGGACCTGGACAAGTCACTCCTCTTTGTACCTCAGTTCTCTCATCTACAAAAGAAAGTTCTTGCACTGTGTGATTGGCCCAGGAATCCTATAAATACTATAGGGGGGGTCGTCCCTAACTCCTCTCATTCTTCACAGGCCACTTTCAATCTATCACAAATGCCTATTGATGCTACCTTCAAAATATGTATTCAGGATCTGACCTCCTCTCACTTCCTCAATCCATCACTATTACTGTGGCCTGAGTCAACATCACCTCTTGTCTGGATCAAGGCAACGACCTCTGCTTCTATCTCCCCTCCCCAAGAGCCGACGGGAGCGAGCCTGTCCTTTTGGAGCAATGCATGCCTCTGTTCAGAATGCTGCATGGCTGTCCATCGCACACAAGCACCCCCAGCCATCCCCACCTTGTCTCCTGTTACCCGCCCCCCATACACTCCTCTCCAGCCACAGTGGCCGACTTGCCATCCTTTCAACACTTTTGACAGATGGCCCCCCATCTCTGCTCCAGCAGTTCCCTCTGCCCAAAAGGCTACTGCTCTGGTTTCCCTGGGCCAACGTTCTCGTCCCCTTCAAGGCTTTGCTCAAATTTGCCCTTCTTGGTGAGGCCTGCTCTGACCACCCTACGGAACCCCCGCGACCTGTTCCTATACCTTCAACCCTCCTGCTCATCTGATAATTCATTTATTTTGTGTGTTGTTTCCTCTCTCCTCCCCTCTAGAAGGTAAGCTCCAAGAGAGCAGGGATCTTTGTCTGCTTTGCTAACCAGCAGCCACTGTGTCTTACAACAGTGCCTAGTACGTAGTAGGCACCTGATAAATATTTGTTGAATGAGCAAATATACCATTCTGAAGACAGATACAAAAGCAAACAAATCACGGGATCTACTGGTGAGACTCTCAGTCACCCCACTGTTACCCAACTCACTGTGCAGTTGATAAAAGACAGGAAGGGAAAAGAATGGGTCCTCACAAAGCCAGTATGCCAGAGAGCACGGTGAAAAGGAAAAAGTATTGCATAGGATGTCTGAAACAATGTTCTGGTTTTGATTTTGCCACTATTATGTGACCTGGCCCTCAACTGTCTAGTTCATAAAAGGAGAGATTAGGTTAGAACAGGGGGAAGCAAACCTCTGCCCTCACGCCAAATACAGCCCACTTCCTGTTTTTGTAAATAAAGTTTTATTAGAACACAACCATGCCCATTCATTTACGTATTATCTATATCTGTATCTTTTTTTTTTAAAGATTTTATTTATTTGTGAGAGAGAGAGAGACAGAGAGCACAAGCAGGGATAGCGGCAGGCAGAGGGAGAAGCAGGCTCTCCGCTGAGCAAGGAGCCCCATGTGGGACTCGATCCCAGGATCCTGGGATCATGACCGAGCTGAAGGCAGACGCTTAACCGACTGAGCCACCCAGGAACCCCTATCTATATCTATATCTATTTGGTGCTACAATGGCAAGGTTAAGCAGTGATGACAGAGACAGGATGGGCTGCAGAGCCCAAAACACTGACTGACTGGCCTCTTACAGAAAACGTTTGCCAACCCATGGGCTAGAACAACAGAATCTAAGAGCCAGAAAAGCAGACTTTGTTTTTTTCACCACCATCTCCCCAGCTCTTAGACCTGTGCCTGGCACATAGTAGGTATACAGTAAACATCTGAATAACTCAGAGGCGTTCAAGCTGCTTCACTGAGCTGTTGGGTAGGTTCAATAATACGAGCAGCAGCTGATAGGAGGTATCACATGCAAGTACAGTAGTGAGCACTTAACTCATAGCAACTCCCTTCTTTAATCCTCACAACAACTCCATGAGACAGCTTTTATTCGTATCATCCCCATTTTATAGGTGGAGAAACTGAGGTACAAGGAGGCTAGGTAACTTGCCCATCTCAGTTAGTGGGAAAACTTGGGACCTGAGCCCAAGCAGTCTATCACCACAGTTCATACTTTAACCACTGGGCCACACCACTTCTCAACTACCCAGAGGGACTAGGGCACCTACTCTTGTACCTGTTTCATCTGTCAGATTCTACACAGCTCCTTCTTTAAAAAAGAGATCTACGGATTTTTAAAAGTTTGAAAACCGCTGATGATGTCAATCCAATTAAGTCACTTTAACACTCTAAAATCTAGTTTTAGCAAGAGCTACTCTAAAGAAAAAAGTTAATAAAATTGCAACCTGCATTCCTGACTTTCCCTCTGCTCTTCACATGTGGAACCCCAAAAGACATGCTTGCACGGGTCCACTGCAGGACTCCCTCCCAACTCCAGGAAATGGAGAAGACTCACTGCTTCTCAAAGAAAGAATAACCCCAAAATATCAATTGTAACTTTTATGTCCTTCGCACTCTCCAAAACATATAGGAAAGAAATTGATTCAGAGGGACTCAGAATCTAATTTAACTTTTAATTGCTTCACTTACTGCAAAAGCTTAGAGGATGAGCTGGAAAGGTGCATAATACATGCAGAATTCCAAAGACTGAATCTGCAAGCGGCATGAAATTTCACTCCAAACTCTTGGCCCTGAACTGCTCTTATTTTTCAGCGTGGAAGCACACATTTTCCAACACACAGACATCAATAAGTCAGGCCAAGGATAATCTCTAGGTCATTAATTAAATCCTATGTACAGGCATGCACACGATATCATCATACATAGCATACGGAGCCATAAACACTATGTGGAACCAGCAACTATAAATTACGAGTATATAATTCCCTTGAGCTTCATAAACCATAAAAATGAAGCTCAAGTGGTTTGTGTAGTCATTTGAATCCCAGAAGGAAATACAGCATTGCGATTCTAAAGTTGCTTATTGTTTATTTTTATATAATGGATGGATCCTACTTCTCAACTCATGCGTGCCCTCCTCCCACCGGGGCCATCCATCCTCACACTGACTCTCCCTGTCAGCCAGCACCCCACCCCAGCCTGGCTCCCCCGAAGCTCTCCCCTCTTCCAGAAAAGGCCCCTCTATGGCAGGAGCAGAAAGAGCAGTCTGATGGGAGTTTGGGGCTGCTTCTCATCTCATTAGCAAATTTTAATAATTCACGAGAGTAGTGTAACTCTTGTGAATAATCAATGGGGTTTTTTTTTCCCCCATGGGATGCAGCATATGTAACAGTGCATTCCATGTATTATGACATACTTCTAGATTACAGAAATACAGAAGAAAAACAATGGTTACTGAGCACTAATTTCTTTGTGAAAGTATTGTTTTAAATGATTTCTTCCCATTCCCTTGTCCTCAAATTCCTCAAGCCTCTACGCAAAACTATTGTGTCCTTTCCTTGAATCCTATACATTTATCTGTTTATTAACCTAACGATGAGAAATCAACTATGTAGTGATCACTGACTATGTACTGGGAAAAGAATCAGAAGGATGTTTTTGCCTCTCAAGAATGTGCAATCTGATTAAAAATAAAATGATAGGATAGGATATTATAGGATAGAATAGAAAAGAAAAATAAAATAACACTGCAGTGGAAAGAACCTGGGAATTGGAGTCAAGTAAACAAGGCATTTGAACTCTGTGGCTTCGTAACTGTATACAATTAAGAATGCCAATTAATTGCTCAGAACAATACTTTTCTCTTCTGAATAAATGAAGATGAGACAATCTGCTGGTCTGAGTTGCTGTGAGAGTTCATAATATATACCTCCTATCTGCTATCTGCCCTTCTATATACATAGATGCTCAGTGCCTCCATTTCCTCACCTGCAAAACTGGGATAGTAAGTGTTCTTCTCATGAGGTTATTCTGACAATGAAATGTGTGACTGCATGTAAAGCAGGCAGAGGGTTGCTTAGTACAAGGTAAGCACCCAGGAAATGTCAGGGGCCGAGGATGCTGCTACACATGAAGCACCTACTCCATACCCTTAGGAGGTGTTCCAAAGTATGATAAAACAGTATCGCCGATCAAGGAGACAATAAATGATTTCATACCAAATTGTGTAACACAGACTAAAATAACCTTTTAAAAGTAGAGGAACACCGGGGCGCCTGGGTGGCTCAGTCGGTTAGGCATCCGACTTTTGATTTCAGCTCAGGTCATGATCTCAGGGTTGGGAGACTGAGCCCCACGTCGGCCTCCGCACTGGGCATGGAGCCTGCTTGAGATTCTCTCTCCCTCTCCCTCTGCCCCTCCCTCCTCCCTCTCTAAAACAAACAAACAAACAAATAAATAAATAAATAATCAAAGTAAAGGAACACCCCCAAAGAAGTGAACTCAGGGACTCAAGCTGATGTTGGTACACCCATGTTCACAGCAGTCTTATTCACAACAGCCAAGAGGCAGAAACAACCCAAGTGTCCATCTAGGAATGAATGGATAAATGAAGGGTGGTTTATACATACAATAGGATATTATTTAGCCTTAGAAAGGAAGGAAATTCTGATACATATTACATCATGAATGAAACTTGAAGGTATTATGCTAAGTGAAAGATTCCAGTTCCTAAAGTAATCAGTCACAGACAGAAGACAGAATGGTGGTTGTCAGGGCTGGAGGAAATGGGAAAGGAGGGGCGGGGCTGGTATTTAAGGGCACGGAGTTTCAGTTTGGGAAGATGAAAACGTTTTGGAGGTGGATGGTGGTGACGGTGCCCAATAACGTCAAGGTACTTAATGCCCCAGAACTGTACACTTAGAAATGGTAAAATGGTCAATTTCATATTATGTAAATTCTACCACTAAAAAGAAGTTTAGAAACAGAAGGCATTGCACAGAAGGCCCAAGAAGTCAAGAAGTCTCTTTAGAGCACGTGGCATGAGAACTGTGCCTTAAGAGACAGGAAGATCTGGGGAAATGGCACACTCCGAGTGAGGGGAAAATGTGAGTTAGGGCTCCCCGCCGCTGGGAAAAGGAACAAGAGGGCACAAGGCAGGTGCACTCAGTGCTGAGGCTCTCTGCTGGGGAGGGTGAGATCCACAGTGAGGGGGCCTGGCTCCAGCCACTGCCTCTTCCCCACCTGTCAAGCCTCCCTGCAGCCACTCTTACCAACACCCATCCTCAAGTCACCCTGAGCTAACTTCTGAATTGAGGCCACCTCTCAAGTTGGTGCCCCTTCATCCCTCTTCACACAGTTCCTTCTCCTTGGAAATCCCTTTTGTCTGATGAAGTCCACTCCCTCAAAATGGGCTTCACCTCCTTTGCAAAGCCTTCCCGGACTCCAGAACTTCCTCCTACACCATCCATCCCTCTCCTGCACAAGAATCCATGCTCATCAAAGGTGGGGTTTATATCTTTTTCTTATATCCAGGCCCTACCACCATGCTTGATGCATTGTTGGTGCTCAGTAACTACATGCAAAGAGGAATCATGGAGAAGCTCAAAAGAGCAGAGTTGAGACTTGCACCAATACTGGTTCAGATGGGGAAGATGGTGATATGAATAGGTTGAGGAAAGATAAGTCCAAAAACAAGAACTCAGAACAGAGTGGCGGGCTAAGAGACTGAGTTCAGGAAGCAAGCTGAACAAACTCACTCACATCATTTTTCCTAGGCTGCTGCCTTTTCAGGGTATCACGGGCCCCTTTCCTTTGCTTTCCCATCTTTAAGGAGCCCTCTCTTCACCAAAAGAAAAAAACATAAACAGTAAATTCAATCACATACAACATTCAGTTGGAGTTGAGGACAACAAAATTTCCACTTAATGAACTTAACATCCCTCATAGAGGGAAAGAGTAACCCGGTATAGACATCAGAGAGATGTCCTTTAAGGTCCTTGTGTGACTTTAAACAAGGGAAGGCACAGCCCTCCCTCACCCTCTTCCCACTGTGGTGTGCCTCTGGGCCAAGACTAACTTTGGCCCCTTGCCTGCCAAATGGACGGAGCAGAAAAAGGCCAAAGCTTAGAGGACACGCATGTACTAACAAAAATAATCCAAGGTGCTTTCTAGTTTCTTCTCAAGGGATGTTGATTATTAGGCCACTATACATACTACAACTTTACAACAAGAAATCATGGCTTCCGGTAGTAGGAAGCTCACATTCTAGATGGACATTGGTCGTTCACGATTAGAGAATCAGGACAGGGCAGAAAGAAGGATGCGCTTATTTCTGCCTCCAAGGAGATGACTCTCTGGTTGTGATCATCCCCCCAAACACAAAGGGGAGACTGAGTCCCCTGAAAGCAGGCTCTCCCACTCAAGTGTAGACTGATTCACACAGACAATACTACTACAATGCTAGGGATCGCCCTCAGAAACCGGAAGGTTACAATGTGGCCAAAAGCCTATGGAAAAATAAGCAGGATTGTTTAACAATTAAATCAGTGCTATGTCAATGCTGGACTTCCTTGGGGAAAAATTATTTCTCAGACACTCTACAAATAATCTTAGATGCGTGGGCTACCCACTGACTGATAATGAAGATTTTCACAAAACTCAAGTCATAAAACTCCAGGAAACGAAATAAAAAAAGCAAGGTAAATCACCATCAGTTTATTTATGATATTCATACCCTTCTAATTGTAAAACTGGATCTAAAGATGATAATCCCAGCAGGGTTGCAAAGGTTCCATCTCAGTGCTCCCCACTGTTTGCAAAGGCACATGCGCTCATGCACGCATTCCCTCCATACACACAGAGCAGCTCGGCTGGTGTCCCAAGAAGGCAACAAGCAAGGAGCTCTTCCTCCCCTCCAGTCCCTGAATTACTAGCACCACTGCACATTAGACTCTCGGGATTTTAAATCAGCCTAGGAGAGCACTCACATGATAGTTCTCTCTCAGAAACTACACTCACTGGTTTCTAAATGCCAGCCGCAGGGCCTGTGACCATGCAAGATACCTTTTTTATCAAGCCAAGAAAAAATCGGAAAAATAAGGACAATGGGATGAGTCTCCCAAAAGATGTATTTGTTGAATTTAAGGAACTGTCTCCTTTTTGGGTAATATATGCTCCCTGTATTTTATATATTTGAATGTCATTTTGTTTATAAAAAGAAGGTAATGCATCACGCTAAATTTTTAACATCCTTACTAAATATGATTTATCAATTCCCAACATTGTTTTTTCAATATTGCTAGCTGATGTGAGTACACAGATTAGGAACTGCTCACTTGGTCCAAATCTCTCTTCTTTTGCTTTAATTTTTTGGACCACAGATGCAGAGAGTTGTGCTAGTAACACTCCTCGGCTCCTGGCACACCACCGTCTGCATCCACACAACGCTCCCTCTCCTGCACTACCTGTCCCCTCACCCCCTCTCCACATTCCTATTCCACTCCTCCACGTAAGTATCCCCTTCATAACGGTGAGTGGAAAAGATAAGCAATGGTCTAGACACATTAACAGCATATTCACATACAAGCAGCATCACTTATTTTATAAATATCCATACAAATCCAAGAACCTGTATCAGTTCTCTCATTTTATGACTGAAGTAACTGAGGACGGGAGAAGTGAAGTGACTTGCCCACGGTCACAAGATCTGAGTCAGAGCTGAACTAAAACCCAAGCCATCTGTACTCTCTGTTTTTCAGTAAGTTCTTTGGCCATTTCCATAAATGAAAACACACACACACACAGTAAAAAAAAGAAAAAAAAAAAAAAACTGTGAAAGGTGTGCCTGGGTGGCTTAGTCCGGTAAGCGTCTGACTCTTGATCTCAGCTGGGGTCTTGATCTCGGGGTCATGAGTTCAAGCCCTGCATTGGGCTCCACGTGAGCATGGAACCTACTTTAAAAAAAAACTGTGAAAGAAATGAAATTAATCACACACATTCATAAAAATATTAATTAAATCTCAAAACAAAAATTCTCTATGAATCCAACTATTTCTATAAGGCTATAGTGATCACTTAAAAGGTTTTGTGGACTTGATCCACCTATGATATTATGAGTTGGAAGATAATTTATTAG